ACACTTTTTACGTGCAATAAGCAAGAATCAGGTCAAAGTACAGCACTTTGTCTTGCGAAACGAGCATTTCCACGATACACCAATCAGCAATAATGGGTGAGAATCCTCTGCTGCTCTCTCGTTCCCCAGCCTAGCCCCAAAGTCCTAACTCAAAGAAAGGCAAGTCTTTGCATGTTGCAAGCTTCAGACAGGTTTCAGAAACAATCACAAGTGGTGAGACTGCCAAACCAAGCTGGATTTTGATGTGAAAGGAGAAATCTGAGAGCTACCCTCCCTGCTTCACACCGAAGAAGAAAACCAAAGCTGTCGAACAAGCCACAGTGAAAGTTAACTATCCACAGAAGTTGAAATTCTTACTGCTTCTTTCTGCTCCAGTGGTTCCCCACTTTGAAAGGAAGTGAGGTCACTCCAACCGTGGATTCAGTCAACATTTTATACTGATCAGGGGAAGAGGAAGTGCTTGTGTGGCACCCTTTCCTCCAGCTCAAGGCTTGGCACATCTCCTCTAGCACATGGTCAGTGAACTAAACATATGTAGGAACTTAAAGAAGCCCAGTATAGATTGTTGCTCTGCTTACATGACGTGTATGCATCACACTAGTTGGCTTGTGGTTTGGAGACAAGGGTGATTATTTTTAATCACAGGTCTGTCCAATTGTGGGAGTTACTTAAGCTACATATTCTGCCTGGATGCAGGAATTAATGGATAACCAAGACAATGCAAAAGAACCTGCAAAAAACCTGCCTTGGGGCTCTTCACAGGCTTTTCAGTTCAATTGCTAGTAGTGCTATGGGAAGATGGAAAAAAGCCTGAAAGAAACTGAGCAGGCAATATTTATGCACCCTGTTCCAGTGAGTGGATGCATTCACTGAGTTCAAGGCTCATTCAGCTTCTCACTACGTGCCTTTAGAGGAAGGCAAGTTCAGATTAAATCTCAAGTGTTCTGAAACAGTGCTGTATGGCTGTCCTGGAGCCTATTATAAAGCACTCCCTTTTTCCAAGCCAGGTCTGAATCAAAGCACAGGCAGCATTTGCACATCTACTATAACATGGCTCTCGCACACACTCTTCCGTCATGCTTTACTGAATAAAAGCTCAATACATAATTTATCTGCTACACACTCTCAGAAAGCAGTAATTAGACTATACATACATAAAAATCAGACAATGAATTTAAATGACCTGTTAAAGGCCACAAAGCAAGTTGGTAGCTAAGCCAAGATAACTGCAGTTCCTGGGGTGCAGGCCTCTGAGTAATCCACTATCAGAGCATGCAGTGTGTTATTGAACTCATTTTGCCTACTGAAAATAAGGGAAAAAAAGGAAATAAGGTTTAAAAATACCACAAAACCTTGGCAATTCATGGCAATTCATCTCAAGTCTTCTGGTTTACTAATCAAGCTTATAAAACAAAAGATACAGAAAGATATCAGCTGATCTTTCATTGTTCATACCATTAATTTCATTGTAAGCTAGGTACTGACCCTTCTAGCAACAGCTGAACATAGACATGCTCATTAAGTACTAATAATTCTCTAAACTACAAATTTGGGTCCACACACAAATATGTACCAGTTTAGCTATTAGCACAGAACCTCACCAGACACTTCTCAGGCAGTGGTTATCACAGGGCTCTAAGGGCTCCTCCTCCTCCATGTCAAAGAATATTCATTTTTTATTTTTATTTTTTACTGGTAAAAGACTGTGTGTGAGCTAACTATCCCAGCCTTGCAGTGAAAAAACAAACAAGTACAAAGTGTTCAAGCCCACAGTCATTCAGACAAGCCAGAAGTAGCAACAGTAAAATACGAATAACAATACTGACCTGCATAGCACAGCATTTATTATTTCTCTATTGTAGCTTTTTAAAAATATGTAACAGTGACAACATAATTGCTGTTTAGAACAGGGAAGCACGTAGAGAGAAATAATTTTGTTTTCACAAATACTAAAAAACCTCCAACCCTGAGAGGCAGTGCTGGAGAGAAATGCTATTTGGAAAACTAAACTAAGTTACTACTACAGGGTCATTAACATAAACTGAAAGATAATAAAACGAAAACTAAACACTGTAAATCTGAACTCCAACTCAGCATGACTCTGAGACCAGGAATAGGCTCCTACATCACACTCTGTCTCTGTGGATGTTCATCATCCAAGCACATGCCACTCCGGGGACTAGATTACAACACATACATGAAGTCACATTCATGTAGATAAGGACTCACAGCAAACCCAGTGCTTGTAGCATAGGTTGGGAACTTCATTTCACCAGCAAGGGTGTCACCCAAAGACGACCCTCTAAGCGCAAGCTCGAGAATCCTAAAGCTAAATACTGAAAGACCATCCCTTAAATCCCGAAATTTGGAATCAGTTCTATCTCTCAAAAGGCAGAACTGAGTTTAACCCAACTACACCTGGTTTCAAACAGCTTTCCAACGTCTTGAATCTGCTGAGAAGAGAGTTGGTGCTGCTCTGCCATTTCTTACGTTGTGTAAAACATACAGGCTGGTTGTATCAATTTCTTACAACCACACTGACCTTTTCCGTTTTCAAACTTGTAAGTCTGATATTTATTTTTTTTTTAAAAAAAGGAATTTTGAACTCAAAGCAGGAACAAATAAGCGGTGCCTGTGTGTAAGCCTCACAGCATGCTGCCCAGCCAGCATTTTCCCTTAAAGCTGTACAACGGCATTCAAACATCTACAAACAGCCCCTCCTGGAGATAACACACCTAGCTAGGAAAACAGTGAACACATTTCTCTCTAGGAGTAAGCAGAAATCTTGCTTTGCAAAGCTGCTGAGGGTGGCAGGTTTGGTTACGTTTAACTAAAACTCCTTCCCTCTCTAGGCGGTGCACTTCGCAGAGTGAAAATAAATAGGCTGGATAAACCCCAGAAGCTTGCAGGGGGGAGCTGCAGGGAAGCAAGCTGCAGTGTAAACAGGGAGGCAGAGCAGGGCTGGGGGTCAGGAGGGCAGGGCTGGGTCTGGCTGCGGGAGCACAGGTACAGCCCCTGCCCTGCACCGGGTGGAGGAAGGAAAAGGGCGCCAGGAGCCACTTTCCAAAAAGGAAATTTCACCCTGCCCAGGATTTCCAAACTGCAATAATTTTCCATGGGCCAATCAGGGAGGAGCGAGGCAAACGCACCAAATTAGGAAAGTAAATACTGAAGGGGGAGAGGGAGGAGGAGGAGAGCACAGCTCATGCAACCACCTCCCAAAGGCAGCGATGGGACAGGGGTGTGGGTCCCTCACTGAGCCCCCACCAGCCCTCCCAGAACTACCCTTGGGAAGGGGCAGAGGACCCTGCACCAGCCTTCACCCACCGTGACTGCAGAGAGCTGCCCTGGAAGCCAGATGGCCCGAATGCATAGCTACACGCTCCCTGGAAATCATTCCCTTTCCCGGGCAGAAAATCCCAGGTCACTTCCCAAAACGAGGCCCACAGGGTATGAGAGCTGCACGACCCTGCTGGGGCAGAGGGGAAGGCTGAAGGGGCTGAGCAGGGATGTTTACAAACGTGTCAGCCCCTCCTCTGCAAGAGGAACTCGGAAACGAAAGGGGTTTGGCAAGTGAAACCTCAGATGTCTTTTGAGGTTTTCTGAAGACTTGGCTGGATAAGCTTCTGCTCAAGACAAACGGATGCAATCATTAATCATCCTTAGTAAACACTCCGTTAGGGGCTGAGCACAATTCAACACTACGATTTCCACTTTCTCCTTATGCAAAAGAAACATTCTCGGGGAGTCAAATATCAGTTGCAGGCATATGCCAGAGTCAAAAGATACAGGCTCTGTTAGTAACACAAACCACACTGTGCTGCTTTGCGCAAGATGACTGAATGGAAACTAAATACCATATGTTGGCAACGAAACCATCCCCCTCCCCTCCCAGCAACAAGCTTCATCTAAAAAGAGAAGGTTAAATATAAACTAAAAGCAGTGCCTGAACAGAAGACTAAAACCACAGCTACCTTCAGCCCCCTCTTTCTAGAATATCTGCACTGCACATCTGTGCAGCTCTGCAAGACCAGGGGAAAAACCCAAACAAGCAAGCACCTCCAGACCTACGCAAAACCAAACTGGCTTCGTTGTGACACTGAAGTTGTTCTCAGCCATGTAAATTTGAATACTACTCACTGAATTAGTGCTAACTGTCACAAGATGTTTGTGTATTATTCCTTTTTCAAATGTACAGACAAGAAAACAAACCAAAGGCCATTACTATTGCCAGGTACACTTGCTATTCTAAGGCCTGCATGTTTTAAAACTAATCCATCATCCTATATCATCAGTCTACTTTAATTTATTCAATTTATTATGCTTCCAAATAATAGCTTTAATGTTAAAACAGATTACTGCAAGTCCATAACATCAACTCTGCTGAGAAAGGAGGAAAGAAAATATTCCAGACAGTAACTTGGTGTTCAGGTTATTTCTACTGCACGTTCACCAATCAGATAATTTACAAAACAGGATACTCGCACAGATGTACATTCAGATTGCTAAAGCCCCTCAGTACATGGTCAGCATCCTACCCCCATTTCCTTCTATTCCCAGGAAACCACATGCCAATGGCCACCCTTGTCCCTAACTTCAGATAACACCGGCACCACCCAGCAACAACAGAGTATTATTGAGATAAAAATAAATCAGGCAGTCCTAACATAGAAAATATTTGCCTGCTTTCTTTTCTCCATGCATATAGGCAGCTCTCGAGAAATATTTCTAATTCCACTGCCAAAGATAGACTAGTAACTCTATAGTGTGAAAACTGAGACAAGTTTTTGACTCCCAACCTTGAGAGCTCTTAGACAAAAGCCTTGTGCCCTACTTCCAGCCAGCATAACAGTTTTTAAGTCTTCTATCATTTTGAACAGCAGATATTTAACATGCTTCTTGATTTTTATTTTTAATGAGGTATTATAATGCACCAGATAAACAACACAAAGCTGACAAACTGGTGACAGAGAGCACACTTTGGGTAGTTAACATCTTACCTGATAGTGCCTGTGGGGGATGGTAGGGGACTGACCACGGTTCGGAGATCCGGCTCCGGGATGTGGATCTTCAGAGGTGATATTTGAGGATAAAGTGGACGAAGGGGAGGTGATGAGGCTTCCTCTTTTACTTCCTCTTTGTGGTATAAAGATGTGAACTGGATCTTTATAACCGTGCTAGGGAATCGGAAAGTACACCTATGAGGGGAAAAAAAGGGAAAAGTCAGTTTCCCGCATGATACTAAACGTTTTAAGGGTTTTTGTATGCAGTTGGGGAATCATTAATTCATTCATACAAGTCCACCATTCTCCATAGCATCTTTCTGCCCAGAGTCCTGAGCAGAATTACTGATAATTCACAAATCCCTGTGCATGTATCATAGTGTGTCATGCATCATCTAGTGATTAGATGCAAGCTGAAGGTTTGGGTGAGCCAAGTAATTTCCCCAAGGCCTCATATTCAGTCACGAGTCAAGATGCAGAACTACAATGACAAACTCTTGAGTTCCTGCTATATCAAAGACCAGGATTTATCTTTTATTAGCTCCTTGCACAGAACTCAGGAAGGTGCAAGTTACTATAAAGTATCCAGTCGCCAGCAACATTGAAAAAAAGGGCCATAAAATCCAGACAGAGCAACAGCCTCCAGGTAAGACCAGACAGCACAATTTAAAGACTGGTCTCTATATATTGTATAGCTCATTACTCATTTATATCTTTGCATATGATGCTAAAGGATCATCTTGCAGGTTTGAGATTAAAATACATTAATTTAGAAGTGCCTCCCTTCAGACAGAATGGGTTATAGCCAAGAGAGTCAGAACAGGGCCCCTGTAAGCCTACAGGGCCTCATTTCTTCTCTAAATAACAGCTATTTCCAATTGTTATTTAAGGGGAAAAAAAATAAAACACAAATCTACGAGTGTAGCCTTCAGAAGATGCTGGAAAATTCAAAAGGAAATAAGCACTGACATTTTCCATATTTGAGCAGAAAGCTTTCTAATTTACAGTGTCTGCAAGAGGCACAGGGCTGCAAGAGCAAGTGTTCTGCATTTCTTCTTATTGTGCTTTAATTAGACAATAATGTGCAATCAATACAACCTTTCCAGGGATCATTTCACTGATGCTAAGGTTAAAGACGCAGGAAATAAAAACCAGGTTTCACCGTGGGAATGGCCAGCAGAACACAGTAATTGTGCTGGCTTCCAACAACTTGCCTGTAGAAGGAAATGAAGAATTCTGGCAGCGTTGTTCCAGCACTGTGAGTGCTGGTGTAGGCCCAACATAATTATTTTAACCAGTGCCTTATTGAATCCTACCAGGTAATAGAACAAGGTGTCAGGCAAGTAAACCCGTAGCTGTGACTACCTGAATTTCAAGCTGCTATCAACAGAAGTGCAAAGAAAAATCCTGCTACAGTTCTAAAAAGATACTCTGTTGCTCTTGGTTCTTCTGCACAAGCTAGATCTGCTGTAAGGTAATGTTCAGAAACCTGCTGTTAACAGTGCAAAATTATTATTATTCAGGTGTGGAAAGCTCATTCCCATCTCCCACCTCATCTCCCAAATGAGCTGGCTCAGCATTCAGTGGCTTGGACTCACAATGGCTCTGCTATATACAGCAGGAGTTTGCATTGAATTCAATTGACTCCAGAGGTCCAGCCACCTGCACTCATTAATGCATTAAATAAGAACATCATTGCTGGCAATGCAGCCTGATCGTGTTTATCTAACCCTTCTAAACAGGGGTCCCTGCAGACTCAAGACAAGCACACAATTCAAAACAGCAGTGTCTGTGCCTGGCAGTGTCTGCCAGCAGCAGCCACACAGCTTACTGAGATGAACCTGCAACAACCACTCACTATTCTGAATTTTTGTACTGCTACACAGATTTGCTTATAGATAAATATATCTATATACAGAGAATACATAAATTTGCAACAAGCATCACAAGTACAAGCAGAGATTCATAATTTCTTAAGTCCTCACTGAGGAAAAGCTGAGCTTCCTTTTGCAGACCAATCGAACTCCCTGCCATAATGCCAGGTGCTCAGCATTTTTCAGTATCTGAGTCAAGGACAAATCAGTCCATGCTTAACTGTGTTCAGTGCAATTCCATCCTGCTGCTGATCTCTCAACAGGTCTGACTGCACAGAGCCCCAGGGTAGTTCTGCAGCACTGCTGAGGCCAGAAGATCCCCACTGCAGCTTCATACCTGTAAGGAGCTCCATCCCGCTGCCACTTAAGTCTTCCTTTTTCAAAGGACCCGGTAATACAAGATCCACATCTCCTACACATTACTGCTTTCATGTGGTGGTGCAACTATCTCCTCTACATTTTTATTTACTGATGCTGTAAAAACCCTAGATAAGATGCTGATACCTGCACCCAAAACACTGAGAGACAGTCCCATCAGTCTGTGAGCACTGGCAACCTTAACAAATGCTGTTACTTTTCCAAAATCATGAGTCAACCTGAAATATGAAGTCTAAACTAACCCAGTAAACATGTGTTGAAAAGGCCCAAATAACATTGCCCTTCCTTGAGAGCCTTCCCAAAGTGATCTGATCCACCCACGTGACTTCCCCACAGTCTCACACTGGAACAAGGGAAGGGAACCAGAGAGGCTGGGCTGGGCTGACTATACAAGCAAACAATTTGTTGGCTGCTCTGATTTCATTTTTAGAAAGACAAGCTTCCCAATCCAGTGAAGCTGAACCCAGGACACACAAAAAGCTTTCACATATTACGTAAGCTAGCACATACATGGCCATTTTGTAAGGAACCAGTCCCAGAAACATCAGAGTGGATATTTGCAAGGGTGCTCACAGCTTTAAAAGGCTTCCACAGCCTGGTCTGGGCTGGCTTCCAGTATTGACACTGCCTGTAAAGCCAAGGTGGGGGTAATTTATCCAAAGAGTCTATATGCTTTCAACTGCTGTAAAAACCTGGGACCCAAGAAATGGAAATGCAATGCAAAATACGGAGTGAATTCCT